CTCAGTTTGTTTCCTGAGATTAAGAATTCCTCATATCAGTGAGATCATATGATACATGTCATGTATCATACTCCAGTACTTTTTATTTAAATCCTAAATCACTGGCTTTAAAAGTATTAATAAAAGAGAAGCCAGTGTTTAAATAAATAACTAGACATGTAGCACATAGAGCAATTTAAAGCACGTTAGTAGTTTTTTCCTTTTTTTTTTTTTAAGTAATCTCTACACCCCATGTGGGGCTTGAACTCATAACCCCTAGATCAAGAGTTGCATGCTCTTCCAACAGAGCCAGCCAGGCACCCCAGTAGTTATTTCTTAACATCCATAAAAAAATCACAGCTAAGGTAGCCAAGCTTGTGGTACACTAAAAGTAAAAAACAGTCTTTCAAATTCTGCCAATATATATTTGATTTTCTTCTTAAAATGGATCAAGGTTATTCTTATTAAAACCAAGTAAACAATTGCTAATAATTATAAAATTTGATTTGATCAAATTTATCAGATTTGATTATCCATCAAAGCTGGGGTGCCTGGGTGGCTCAGTTGATTAAGCATCTGACTTAGACTCAGGTCATCATCTCGCAGTCCTAGGATCAAGCCTGATGGGGTCCTGGGATCGAGCCCTATGTAGGCTCCTCACTCAGCCTCCTTCTCTCTCTCTCCCTCTCCCTTTGCCCCTCCTTTTCCCTTCCCCCTGCTCATGCTCTCTCTCTCTCATATAAATAAATAAAAAATCTTTTTAAAAAATCCATCAAAGCTAATTTACTATCAGGCTGACAAAGTTACCTAAATGTCTTTTAAGTCATTTTATTTTTATGTTTTTTTCTCTATAATCTACTTGTTTTGTAAAGAGCCTCCTCTGCAATAAATTAAAAAGAAACAAATAATAATAAACAAATCTATTTAGGTTGAGTGAATATAAACAAAAGCCTAAAAAATTATTCATACACCCAGCAGACAGACACCATTCAGTTTTTGCACCTGAAAAATCAAGGCCTTGTTTATATGGGAACTGGGATGAATACCTTTTATATCTTTGTACATAAAAATCAGGTATTGTGGTTAAGCAAACAGTGGTAACTGCTTGGCAAATGGATGCATTGATACAAAAAAAAGTATTTTAAAAGGTCTCTTTCTTACTTGGGCAGAACTTCTCAGACTTTTCCACCAACATACCCCCAAGGCCCTTTAGAAGATTTTACTCACAGAGGTTAAGAGCTACATATAATATAAATCAGGGGGCTTGTTTTAAAGTAATCCATAACAATCATGTATTTTTCTTTATAAAAAGTTACTGCAATTTTTCCATTTTACTCCATAAAAGTCAATGTTTGTTTCAACATTGACTGCGAGCAAAATCCTCTGGGATGATATATCAAGTCCATTCTATAGCTTTATGTGTTTCCTGGTTTCCACACACCCAAATTTGCAGCATATTCTAGGATTCTATGGCAATCTTTGGCTTGTTTGTGGGCTCCCCAATTTTGAGAAAATGACTGCAGAAATGTGAAAGTTAAAATTAGTGATATTTTTCTGCTGCAAACTTCTTCTTTCCCTTCTTCCCACCTTCGTTTCTTTCCTACTTTCTCCTTCCTTCCTCCCTTCTCCTCTTCCTTCCTTCCCTCCCACCTCCCTTCCTTCTTTCGTTTCTTTAAAATCATTTCTTTGGTTGTACCCTCGAGTTGAAGCAACACAACCACTTTCTGGTTTGTACCAGTAGGCTTCAATTTTGAAGTGTGTATGTCCGTTTCCTGCTTCTGTTTCTGGTGGCTCTCTCCATTTTTATCTAAATGGGCTTTCCACCCAAATTCCTGGCTTTTAAGTGTATGCCTTATTTTAACTCACAGAGTCCATGTGCACCCTGACCCTAGCTAGCTATAGATAACTGGTTTGACTTTGACTATGGACCCCCAGGAAATTTGCTAGGGAGCCTCCTCCAGTGTTTGCAACCTGCTGTGGCCAATCCTGCTTCTGCATTCCTTCTCTATTCTAGCTTCTCATACAGTATTCAGAATCCAGGCCTATGTCCAGTCCAGGAATGAACAGTATAAACATAGATAAAATTAATACTTGGCCATAAACTTTTGAAAATTGTATTCTGGCAACAGAAAATGTATTGATGGCAAAATAGGTAATGGCCAATTTACAGTGGATGAATATTCTATATGAGAAGTGTTTTGAAAATTAGACATCTGAAGATTTTATAAGTTGATATTTTGGTTGATGATCTATCTTAAGCACCTAAAATTATTTTTAAAGCTGTAACTAAATTTCAGATAGATTTACCAGTCATCAGATCGAGTGCCTTCTTCAAAGTGGATATTTCCCACATTCTCCAACTCAATTAACAAAAATGGGATCAATAATCCATGACTTCTCTTCTTTTGCTTTACTTCAACACGATAAATTGCTTCAATTCTATTTAAGAAAAAAAATAAAGCCATTAGAAACACTTAAAAAGCACATTAAGATTAAAATAATTTTTTTTTATAGCTGATGTGAAAATATAGGCTTCTTTCAATGGATAAAGAAAGCTTGGTGTTAACAGTTAAACCAAGGAAAAGATACTCTATTTCTGGCAATTAAAATCACTTCAAATTATGTTAACTTCAGAATATGTGAAGGTTAGAAGGCTAACCTGGCTCCGCCACTTATGACTCTCAGATCTTTTTATGCTGTAGTTTCTTAGTAAAATGGCAATATTAATAGTACCACACCTGAAAAAGCTTTTTTGAGGATTATATGCAAAATACTTGTAAAGCTCTTAGCAAAGAATTTGGCACAAAGAATCCAATAAATGTTAGTTATTATTAGTAGTAGTAGTAGTATTTACAGGGCAAACTAACTTATCCATTTAGTGCCCTAGTAAATAAAAAATTTACACGACTAAGTTTTCTTGCTTTATTCTAGTTGATACTCAACCAGAGTTTGTTTCTACATGATTCCAGACAACTGTGTATATGCTTTGCTCAGTCAGATCTATGTGGTGAGTTTTCTGCATCAGTAGCAGCTCTTTTTTTAGTTTGCATTCACTAGAGCAGTGATGTGACAGGAAGCCAGTAGGGGGAAGTTCACTGTGCCTAAGTAAGTATTGCCTCTCGAAAAAACTACATATGTCAGCTTTGAACCAATGATGTCTAGCTCTAATGGGAACTGGACTAGAAACACATTCCATGTTTTACTTCATCATATAATTCTTTCCACTCATGAAGAAGGGAACTGAGCTCAACTGGATAGCCTAGAACGTTCTATTCTCTCATGTTTCGAGTTTGAACAACTAGACAATTCATAAAACATACTCATCTAGTTTTTTGTTCCAGAATGTTACCCTTTCATTCAAGGCATTTAGTTTGGTCAGTATCTTCTGTTGAAGATTTGGTTCTTCTGTGACAGTTTCACAGTTCTTTGATTTTTCAAGTTCAGTTACTTTATTGTTATTGGATCTATCATTGTGCCCTTTGCCAGATCCCTTGAGTTCAGCAAGTTCCCGTTCCAGCTGTTGAAATCAGTGTGCCAGAGAGCAAAAATTTTTAGTGGAATTATTAAATATATAGTTAATTTAAATTAACAAAATAAAAATCTAGATAATAAATAGGCCAAACTTCACAAAAACATGCTAAACATGTGATTACAACTTCGGTACAAGTTTAGTCAGCCAATTTCTCTTGACCAAGGGACAGTCTTAACTACTTCAAATGTGGCAGCTTTTTTAATTGACAATGAGAAAAGCGAAGAAATGGATTTTTAAATATTAAGTGATGAGTTTGCTTCTCTTAAAGCCAAAGTAAAATTATAACAAATACTGGCTTTGGTATAAATAAAATATCTAAACTTCAAATTAATGTGACTTCTATCACACCTACCTTTCAATTTTTTTAATATTTTTTCAAGTACTTTGGTATTCTGGGAAAAAAATCAACCATAGCAAATATACAAAACATGTATATAGGGATGCATATTTTTCCTTTTGCCACAGTCTCCTATATATGGCTCAGCATAGCAATGTCTTTATTTAAAATTTTGATATTTTGTTTTTTTCTTGTTCATAATGGGCTTTGTCAGCATTCATCTGCATTTTGAAAAAATACTGTACTACGTATGATTTATTGCAGTTACTGAGGTTTTTAGCACTCAGATTTTGGGCCCACAGTGAGTGCCTCATTTGCCCTGCCTTAATCCCTGCCTTGCAGGATTTCAAGATAAATTGTACTATACATGGAGAGGTGTATATATATAGAAATTTACAAATTATCTGTCCTCCCCCTCTATAATGGCTATATCCAGCTGTTAAAAAACAATTAAGCACATTTATAAAAATGTCTACTAGTTTATCTAGAGATATTATTTTTCACATTTGCAGGTTTTACTTAATACATTCATTTCCACATAAAAATAGATATAAAATGATTTCCATATACTGGTTCATTTTTTATTCAAAAATAAATTTTGTTAATGTTTTACTTTGAGGATAACTT